TTCTCCGGTACCGGGAACCGAACTCACGACCTTGCGCTTGCCAGGCAGGCGCTTTGCCGCTGAGCTAAATCCCCAGCCCCTTTCTTTCTTTCTTTTTTGTCTTTTTGAGACAGGGTCTCGCTATGCAGTTCAGGCCGGCCTTGAGCTCACTTTGTAGCCCAGGTTGGTCTCGAACTCACAACGATCCTCCTGCCTCAGCCTCCCGAGTTCTGGGATTACAGGCGTGTGCCGCCACGCCCGGCGACTCTTTTCCTCTTAGCATTGTCTTTTCCCTGCATTTCGGAAGAAGGCATATAATCACCCTTACTGTGATATTAGAGATCTGGTTGTACCTGACAGTGGGTTGAGTTTGTTTTGCCATGTTTCCAGTTCCTAGAACTGTCCCAGCTCATAGAAAGCACTCAAGAAATATTTGTTGAATCAAAGAATACAGTCACATCTTTCCTCAGTGGCATTTACTAAAGTCATTTTTTAGCAAAAGTCTTCCAAATTCAATGAAAATGATACCCAAACCACCTATAGTAGTAATAATAGCCAATGAAGGTTGACTGGGTTATGTCTTACAGTTATGCAAAAATAACCTATAACCAGAAACTGAAAGTGTTCTTTTTAGCAAAATTTATTTTTACATATGTATTTATTTTGTCTCTGGGCATAAGCAACACTTGACCTGTTTCAAGGTCAAGAGACAGAAGGCAGGATAAGCTCAGCAGTAGGCAAGTGGAGGAACAGGGGGCCCTGGGTCTCATTCCCAGAAAGCAGAAGAAGAGAAGAAAAAAGAAAGTTAAAATATTGGGGTGGGGGGGACACAGTAGTGAAATGCTGAACTGGGAGATAGTTGTCCTATCTTAATGTGGAATCTTTAGTGTTTTGTTTTAGAACACTGGTGAAACTTTTCTTTCAATAAATAAGCTCAGGGGGAAAATTATTGAGAAGGTGGAAGCTGATCTTGTGTCCAAGCCTATCTTAAAACCTCCTGGAAACTTCTAGAAGTAACTATGGTAGATCTTGAACAGTTCAATAAGCATAAATAAGCAGGGATGACTTGCGAATTAAATTCACATTTTAATGTTAGTTTATCCCCTCTTGTGTTCATCAGAAGTTGAAGTCTCCACACATTCGTCCTATTCTGTGGATTCCATCAGAGATGACTGGGAATCCTGGGCTGGTGGGCAGCCACAACATCAACTGGGAGAGGAGACGGAAGTGAGCTGTCGCAGATCTTCGCTGACTTTAGGGAACACGTAAGGAACTGTGTGAGCAACCTGGCACTGATGGAAAGCCCCTACCGGACATTTGAACTCCTAGGCAAATACAGAGCATTTGGTTGGATGATCAAGAAGAAAAATGGTTAATGTTTCTTTGGTAAAGCTTGCTGAGGATGTCGATTGCTGTTTAATCCCTGAGAAGATATCAGGAAGAAAAAATGTTTGGAAAATAACCTTTAACTCTTCTTCCGAAACTGAATTTCTAATATGAAGGTTCTAATATGAAGGTTTCTAATATGAGAAAGACCAAGTGACAGTGAGAAACAGCAACAGATCTGACAAGATTCCTTTGGGTATTGTTGCATGCCTGCCCACAACTCTGAAGTTAGGTGTCTTGTTCAAGAAAGTAAGAAAGGCGAAGCAATACTTATGGACACTGCAAACGAAAAGTCTCCTCAAGCAAGGTACTGACCCACCCTAGTGAGGAGACCTTTGAACTCTGATTGGGAAGAGTGACCAGGGTCAGAAGGGGAAGAGAGAAGGTAATTCCTGCCCATATTTGATGAAGTGCTTAGAACTTCCACAGGTCCTTGGGGTATAACAGAAATACATGGTTTCTTTTTCCTACAAGTTAAAAATGGGAGGTGGAAAGCTACCAGCTAGTATTGTGAGAACCTATATTTAAAAAAACAAATCCTAAAAAGATTATGAATTATGGTTGGTCCAAAGAAGTAAGTACTGGCTTATTCTTAACAAAATGGTTTAATGAAGGGTTAGGTAGATGCATGTGTTCGGGAGCTAAGGAACCTCATACAGGATTAAGAAAAAATAGAAAAAGAGATGGAGATATAGCTCAGCAGTACAGCACTTGTCTAACATGGATGGGCCTTGGGTTTGATTATAGATTGCAAAAAGAAATGGAGAAAAGGGTCTCATATAAAAAATTTTACAACAAAAGGGATTTTAAAGGGAGAGCCTACGAATTAAGACATGCTTAGAGCTCTCGAATAATCATAGCATGTGGACCAGCTTGGGATACTGATGCAAACAAATTTCCAACAATATTCATGATACAATTAGAGATTTGAACAATGCCTGGCTTTTCAATGTTATTAAACCATTATTACACATTCTTTTTCAGATGAAATGTTAATACTGTACTTCTATAGAAAAACAGTTTTTATATTTTCAGATACACATCGTGAAATACGTAAAATGAAGTGTTATGGTGTGAGGAACATATTTCAAATAATATGGGAGGAAAAAGTGGATGAGAATATAGATGAAAGAAGACAGTCTGTAAATTGATAAATGCTGGAACTCAATGTTTTTTATTACATAATTTTACTTTTGTACCTTTGACAGTTTCCATTTTAAAAGTTTAATAATTTTAGGAAATTAAAAAAATAACGATAAGACATAGAAGTGCTTTCTGCAGTAAACTAAAGATTGTCTGTTAAGACCAGATAAAAGAAAAATCTGCAAGATTTTGGAAGTGATGACTTCGGAAGTGACGACTTCTAGAGCAAAGAGTTTAGTGGAAACACTCAGCACTTTTGTATAACTGCAGAGAAGGCAGCTATTTTCTGACAAATTGTTGGTGGGAACTCATACGTTTTCCCAGAGTGCTCCAACAAGAACAGTAGAAGGCCCAGGGTACCTGAAGAAAGGGTAATTGTAATAGTTCACATTTATTGAGTCTATCTTCTGTGTCAGGAATTGAGTTACGTGCATTATGGACAATTCAGTTTTAAAATGTGTTGTATTAATCTGGTTAAAAGCTCTGTGGAACAGATATTATTTGGTGAAGTATTTTAACCACTTTACCAAATTTGTACCACCATATATTTTGTTTCAGAAACCATGAATGCAGTCAACAAACAAGAAATTCAGTTGCTTTTCAAAATCTCAGATTATAATGACCAATATTAACAGCAGTATATCATGCACACACTATCTTATCCAATACTTTAAAAAATTCAAAGGTGCCAGGCCAGCATTTCTCAAAGTGTGGTTCAAGTACTCTGGGAACCTCTGTGACTCTTGGAGAGATTTTTAGGTTTTCCTTTTCCAACTATTTGAACTTAAAATTGTACTTCTTCATAAATGTCAAATCAAACTGTGTTATCACAATAGGTTGAATGTATACATATGTGACTACCTATCATTGCATCAGATTAAACATTAGAGAGATTTTCAGAGCTATAAAATGATGCCTGTATTCTTTCTGATTTTTTTGAAATTATAGTTACCCTTTATAAAACTATTACTTATGCTAACATCGAATGCACTTATTAATACTTAAAATGATTCCTGAAAATTTTGAACATTTTAAATTTTAATTTCTAGTACCACAAATAGCATTAGATACAACTCATTTAGCTAGAGCTCTGTGGGGTCCTCAATTATTTCCGACTGTATAAAGGGGTCTTGACACCAGAGAGTTTGACAAATGCTGTTCTGTGTAAAAGGATAAAATTACTTAGACTCTGAAGAGTCAATCTAGCAAATATCTAAAGTCTTCCTTGGCAGTTTTAGCTCAATTAATAGCATGCATGTGCTATTATAATGTCAGATAAACTTAAACAACAGCAGTACTAGCAATAAAACACTTTAAATGCATTATCTCATACATTTTCATAAAAATTCTAAGTCACATATTATTTGGTGAAGTTAACTTTGGAAAAGTTAAGTAATTTTAGCCAATATAGTGAGACAGTTTAGATATTTTTGAAATCTTTAATTTGGCCAAGAAAGAAAACAGAAATGAACTGCCTCTGAAAATGCCAACCGCAACTTTTATAATAAAAACTTCTTTTTACAAAATAAAACTACTTTTGGCAAAACAAATACCAGCACACTGAGTCAAGTATTTTATAACTGCTAGATGCTTTCATATATAATATTATTCAATCCAGATGAAAAACATGCATAGAATTCTTAAATTGAATTACTTAATGTTTCTGAGGTTAACTTCAATAAGTCTGTATCATTTTCCTTAGAATTTCAAAAACAGCAAAGAACAGTTATAATTCACATTCTGCTTCAAATCTAAGGTCCTACTTCAACTAATAAGTAGTCAAATATTTTGCATGCAACATCTCATCCAGTTCTTGTAAAACCCTAAAATATGGTTATTATTTATTAAGGTTACTTAAAGTCAGAGAGAAAAATTATCTGGAGTACACATATAAAAACTTATTTAGCATTTGAGAAATATTACATTCCATAATATATAGTTCAAGTTTCATAGAAAACATATCACTACTACTATTATTTTATTAAAAGTGATTACTATTACTTCAACAACTACCACTTCTGCTATTACTACTGCTACTAACTCATTAATTGAGTGCTTATTATAAGTGCTCACTGACTCTGATACCTTATCTGCATTATACATTTTACATGCATTATCTTATTCTAATCTTATAAAAAAGCTCACTAGCC